GGTAAATAATATGCTTATATTTCTATATATAAATTAATAAAATACTGAAATAAGAATTAACACTTTAAATATGTCTAAAAATCCATGTTTGGGAGGAGGAATAGTGCTTCAGAGAAGATGGTATGATGTACATCCTTTAAGTACACTGGCAGCATTGACAGGTCTTACCCTTCAGAAGGCATGATTCAGACTCCAAAACAGCAAATTATCTTGAATTTTGAGATGTGTAGGTCTTGGGGTACCTATTATTTGGTTTATCATAATACTTTATTTTTTTGTGAACAAGACATAATTTTTTATGGGTTTCTCCAGCATAAAAGCTATTCCCATAAATTATGTGATGGTAATGGAAAGACATACAAAGACATCAAGTTCTTACTTTGTTTCTCCCTAAGCCTGGCTCTGTAAGAACAGACTTATAAAAACTAAGCTGTTTTATCTGGTATGTGGTAGATTATCTTCAATAGCTAGATAAGAGGGAAGAAGTTGACAATTCACAAATGACTGTTGGTGTTGATCTATGAAACAGATGGAAAACAGATTTTTGTTAAGCTGATTCTGTAAATGGAGTGCAGCAAAGGAATTTGTGAAAATAAACTTGCCGCTCCATGGTGATACAGAACCACATATTAGAGCATATTGACATGTGATTTATTTGTGTATTTATAGATAGGATTTATGGTATACAGAGATGGTTATTGGAAACCACAGAAACAGAAGTCTTAAAGATAGTAGCTTTTATATTGTTAGGTTGAGATAGGTGCTATAAATACTCATTTTCAAAGCATGAATCAACTCAAAGGTTTTTTAATTATAATGGGAGAAAGGATTTTAAAATCGTATTCAGTTGTAACAGTGTGATCTCATATAATGTAAAATCAGCTTATCTTTCAGGCTGACATAGATTAGGAATCTTGTTTTGGTAAACAGTCTAGAGACCTTTTGAGCATTCATAGGGCTCATACATAAATTTTGAAATAAAGACATGTAAAAATAAATGGATTTGACTGAGTTTTACTGTGAACAGGTATACAGAGACTGACCGTACAGGAAGATCAAACTGTAGATATGTTTCAGTATATCCGTATGAATTAAGTTGCTCCATTTCAAGCAGTAATTTACTCTTGGCTTCTCAGATATAGGTGCTAAGATCTTTTTTTACTACTTTTGCTGTTGGTAGCCTTTTAGATAAAGGATTATACTTAAGTAGTTTGGAAACTTAAATGTTACAATCGTTGATATAAGAATCTTCTTATTTAAGGACTAAATTGATTTGAAAATAAAGCAAGCCTTTCTTCCTCATTCAGCAAATGCACAGAATTCTCTGTAGCAAGTAAAAAACAAAACAAAGTGTATTTAAATGGCTTAAATTCTGTGAAGTGTTCACATGACATGCACCTTTTCTTGTAAGGCAATGACAGATCTGTTCATAACCTTTCTTTGTATTGGTTTAGTAAAAATGGACAGTAATTCTTATAATACACCATTACAATTTGTATGCACTATGAGGGTCATCTTGTCTATAGCACACAAGTCTCATGCATTTCAAGTACAAATTAGTATTTCTGTGATCACTGAAACATTTCAGAGTCAGTAACAGTGTTAAGTCCGAGTTTCCCACACCAGTGTCATCATATCTGTAAATGCAGATATCTCCTTACAGAACGGTCAAGAATCATGGTTCTCAGTCACTTTTATTTTTGTTGGCTGTAGGTTTACTTCTACAACTTTTATCCACAATAAATTGTTCTTCATGTTAGATAGTTTGTATAAGCTACTATGATAAAAGGTTAAAGTGAATTATATATACACAAAAATTGGTTAATGCTGTTGGCCTTTTCCTGGTCAATGTGTGTGTAGGGACTGTAGCTTTGCTTGTGAGCATTTAGTGTTAACAGAGGGTATCAGCGATATGGGTACAATTGAGTGCAAAATCAGGATGCTCCTAGAAATGTATGGATTTAAGATGGAGACAATGGAAATAGGCTAACAGATATTCCAAGAGCATGAAAAGTGGTGTTTTTCACTAGCACCAAAAAAGTTTAAAGACCACATCATCAGCTCCAACTGGACTGAGACTGCAAAACCACTACTAGATTCTTTTGCTGAAAATGTTGGCTTTCTGCACTCTGAGTGATATCAAGCAGTCCACCTAGTTAGTTTTTCTCTGTAGTAAAGGGAATTTGATTATACTGGAAGTGGAATTATGGCTCTAATAGTTACCACTCATTTCTTAGAGCACAGCTAAGTAACTGAACCCATCACTACAATGAGATGTACAGACACATTGTTTTTTAAACACACCATGCACAAGTTTTCCTTTCAGATTTGTAGGTTCGATGTTCATTTCGTCTTGCTTCTAGCAAAACAAGCACTGATATTTCATTTTCCTGCCCTTACTATGTATAGAAGCCTATAGTAATTATTCCTTTGGGTTTTTTCTTTTGGATCTGTTCAAGTGTATGGCTATTGGCACAGTAAGGCCTGGGTCTGCTACTACAGAACTACTGAAAAGCTCCCTCCAGGAGAGTTTTTGCTTTGTATTGGGAACCGGGTGCAGGTGTTACCTAGGCAGGAGTATCTTGTCTTTATCCTGAAGACAAAAAAACCCCAACAGATTAGACAGCAAGGAAGGGGGAGAAAGCAAAGCTTGTAGCACTGGGCGTGGGGATATTGGAAAAAGTTACACAGAGAAGACATGACTGGTTATGGGAGCTCACCTATATGTTCTGGGATAGCCAAAAAAACCCCAGCTGTGTTCTGACTATGTCATCAGAAAGTTACAAGAGACTGAAATATTATTCAAGCCATTTGGGAACTTCTTCAGTAGAGCTTTTCCTCTTTTCTCCACAGACTTGAGCTTTGCAGGCTTGCTATTTGTTTATTACAGGTTTACTGTTCAAAGACAACATAACTTAGGAAAGAATAGGGTTCACATTATTTTTATCACATGGACAAATATACTTTAAAAAGAAAACTTAATCATGCAAACCTTGCACTTACAAGAGTTATGTGGATAAAAATGACCTGTGTAAAACTACATATTGTTGAAAGAAGCTGAAACTAATAGACTGTCACAAATAACATTCTGTATCATATAGGTCATGGTGAGATACTTATTTCTGAAATCAATGAGAAGTAAATTAAATCTGTCAAGAAATGTTTTAATTATTCAAAAATTTTCAAGTCAAAACTAACTGGATTTTTTAACACTTATCTTCTGCATGAAGTATATCTAAAAATAATGTCCATTTTCATTCAAATTGAAATCCATTCTGGAACCAGCACAAAAACTGACACCAGGATACAGCCTTAGGGGTCTGATCTATGAGCTTCTGATTAAGTTCTTTATAGATATCAGACAGGGTTAATTTTTGAAATTGGGAAGTGTCCAAGACACTAAATTCCTTTCCCCCCGTCTTAAACTTCTTACAGTCTAAGCATTCATTAAAAAAAAAAACCCTAACTTTTGTCATTCTAATGAAAATTTGTGATTACAGCTGTTGTTCATCTTTTATTTTAAAGGAAAGCTTTTTCAGTTGCTAAGGTTTTTGTTTTTTGGTTGGTTTTTTTTTTGGTACTACAGTCAGTACAACAAACATTACAGTTTAACATATATTTGTAAATAAAGGACATGCCCAGTTCAAGCTGGTAGGCCACCTTTAGTGAAAGGTTTCCTGTAAACAAAATACCAGAATAACCCCAAACAAACCAGGGAATAAAACGTAGGCTAATGTGGAAGTCATATTAAGTATTCTTGGCAAACTGCGATGTACGCAGCAGCCACTGCACATTATTCAGAGCTGTGAATAGGGACATTGAAACAAGCCTGCTGTACAGGTGCTAGATTTTGATTCAATAAATAGTCTGTACAGTATCAAACTATATAAAAGTTTAAAAACCACAATGAGAATTATTATATTTTAAAAAATTTTTATATTGTAAAAATTTTAAAATTAGGTCCAAACCACCATTAAAAAAGGTATGAAATGTGCAATTTTGCAAGTGGAAACAAGGGGCACAAGAAGGGTTCCATAAGGGTTAATAAGAGTTGCTTTGTGATTTCTCTTTGTTTCCAGTCTCTTCGTATACCTGGTAATCACACAGACCTCAGAGCG